AGGGATTGCATTGAATCTGTACATTGCTTTGGGTAGTATGGTCATTTTCACAGTATCGATTCTTCCAAGAACATATCTCTCCATCTGTTTGTGTCATCTTTGATTTCTTTCACCAATATCTTATAGTTTTCTGAGTACAGGTCTTTTGCCTTCTTAGGTAGATTTATTCCTAAGGATTTTATTCTTTTTGATTCAATGATAAATGGGATTGTTTCCTTAATTTCTCTTTCGGACCTTTTGTTGTTAGTGTATAGGCATGCAAGAGATTTCTGTGTATTAATTTTATATGCTGCAGCTTTACCAAATTCATTGTTTATAGTTTTCTGGTAGCATCTTTAGGATTTTCTATGTATAGATTCATGTCATCTGCAAACAGTGACAATTTTACTTCTTCTTTTCCAGTTTGGATTAATTTTATTTCTTTTTCTTCTCTGACTGCCATAGCTAGGACTTCCAAAACTATGTTGAATACTAGTTGTGGGGGTGGACATCCTTATCTTATTCATGATCTTAGAGAAAATGCTTTCAGTTTTCACCACTGAGAATGATGTTTGCTCTAGTTTTCTCATATATGGCCATCATATGTTACCTTTATGCACGCTTTCTGGAGATTTTTTGTCATAAATGGGTGTTGAATTTTATCAGAAGCTTTTTCTGCTTCTATTGAGATGATTATATGGTTTTTATTCCTTAATTTGTTAATATGGTGTATCACACTGATTAATTTGTGTATATTGAAGAATCCTTGCACCCCTGGGATAAATTCCACTTGCTCATGGTGTATGACTCTTTTAATGTGTTGTTGGATTCAGTTTCCTAGTATTTTGTTGAGGATTTTTGAGTCTATGCTCATCAGTGATATTGGCCTGTAATTTTCTTTTTCTGTGATATCTTTGTCTGGTTTTGGTATCAGGGTGATGGTGTCCTTGTAGAATGAGTTTGGGAGTGTTATTTCTTCTAAAGTTTTTTGGAAGAGTTTCGGAAGGGTAGGTATTAGCTCTTTTCTAAATGTTTGATAGAATTCACCTGTGAAGCCATCTGGTCCTGGACTTCTGTTTGTTGGGAGTTTTTAAATCACAGTTTCAATTTCATTACTTGGGATTGGTCTGTTCATATCTTCTATTTCTTCCTGGTTCAGTCTTGGAAGATTGCACCTTTCTAAGAATTTGTCCATTTCTTCTAGGTTGTCCATTTTATTGTCATATAGTTGTTTGTAGTAGTCTCTTATGATCCTTTGTATTTCTGTGGTGTTCATTGTAACTTCTCCTTTTTCATTTCTAACTTTATTAATTTGAGACCTCTCTCTTTTTTTCTTGATGTGTCTGGCTAAAGGTTTATCAGTTTTGTTTACCTTCTCAAAGAACCAGCTTTTACTTTCATTGATATTTACTATTGTTTTCTTTGTTTCTATTTCATTTATTTCTGCTCTGATTTTTATGATTTCTTTCCTTCTACTAACTTGTGGTTTTGTTTGCTCTTCTTTCTCTAGTTGCTTTAGGTGTAAGGATAGGTTGTTTGAGATTTTTCTTGTTTCTTGAGGTAAGATGGTACTGCTGTAAAGTTCCCTCTTAGAACTGCTTTTGCTGTGTCATGTAGGTTTTGGATTGTTGTGTTTTCATTGTTATTTGTCTCTCTACTGTTATTTGTCTCTCCATATTTGTCTCTTATAGTCTTTTTTTTTTTTTTTTTTTGGCCACCCCACATGGCTTGAGGGATCTTAGTTCCCCCAGGCAGGGATGGAAGCCAGGCCCGTGGCAGTGAAAGCACAGAGTCCTCACCACTGGACTGCCAGGATATTTCCATAGTCTTCTATCTCTGGGTTTATATATATGGAAGTATTTTACAAAATTTTGACCTATAAGGTTATTTTGAAAAATATCAATGTTAATGTATGGAAAGGAGAGTATTTGTATAGATCCAGGACCCCAATAATAAGTGGCATCCCACAGATCACTTAATTTTTGTATTGTTTGTTTTTCTGGCAAGTTGAAATGCCCTATTTTAAAGAAGTGTTAAGAAAAAAATAGACTACGTACAGGATATATGAATTAATATATTTCAGAGCACTATTTTTGGCTGCTTTGATATAGATACAACAATTTTAAATGATCTTTTTCATAGCTTCATGCTATAACCCCCCCCCCAAGCTAAGGGATGAATATACAACCAAAATGTCAAATAGATCAAAGCTATGGCTCAGTTTCAGTCCTTTTGCCCACTGCCCCATTTGGCATACATATATGTCCTCTGTCTCTATGGATGGATATTATTTAGTTATTTTTTCTATAGCCTTCGTGTAACAGTAAAATAAGATGAAAGAGAAAGGAAGCTTTGTGTCTTACCTAAAGTCACTGAGTGTCTTTGGATTTGAAACCAGAACACATGTGTTTCTATTTAAGGTAAATATTTCATCCCTCCCTTTCCTTCTAATTTACTTTTATTAAAAAAAAATTATAGCACACAACAAAGAACCACAGTACTCTGTCATAGTTTGTTTCTCCATTCTAGGTGCTTTCTTTCTTTTTTTTTTTTTTTGCGGTATGCGGGCCTCTCACTGTTGTGGCTTCTCCCTTGCAGAGCACAGGCTCCGGACGCGCAGGCTCAGCGGCCATGGCTCACGGGCCTAGCTGCTCCACAGCATGTGTGATCTTCCTGGACCGGGGCACGAACCCATGTCCCCTGCATCGGCAGGCGGACTTTCAACCACTACGCCACCAGGGAAGCCCTAGGTGCTTTCTTGATGAAAAATAATGTATATCTGTGTGTTGGTGAACAGCAGAAAAGATTAAAACCACATAACTAGGCAATTCTATACTGCTCACAGTGATGCCCCTTCTATTAGAGCAATTGGAGTAATGGAATGCTTTATTTTGAGAATGGAGGTATAGTGGTGCATTATGTACTGATCAGGGAAAGCAATGAAGAAAATGATCTAAGTGACTTCCAGGGAAATCACCTTCCCTTTAATATCACTAACAAGCATAGATTATTGACCCTATTCTTTGTTCATAATGTTCTTTTAAATGTAAATAGGCTACATATATTTCCTCCTCCAAACTGTAAGCATCATGAATGCAAGAGTCATACCTGCCTTTTATATCCCTAATTCCAGCAGTTCCTAGTTTAAGTGATCACTAAATATTGTTTGAGTAACAGACTGAATGAGTGAATATCATACATAGACTCACAATTGTATTTTTTTTCAGAGAATTCTATAGATGCAGGCAGGCTCCTATTCAGTCAGTGCATTCAGCTGAATCTCTAGAATCTCCAGGTGTGATGGGGTCTTCTTCCTTACATCTGGAAGTGGCTCTTTATGGTCCAGTCACCTGTGAACTCAGAGACAATTATCTGCTCCCCACTCTCATGCAATAAACAACAGTGGAGAAGGGACACGATAACCACAATAAATATTCCTATTTAGAAAAGAAGATGTGCAATAGTCCCGGGTCTGTAACAATGCTGGTATCCTGCTAGACAGGCATTATGAGGGTTTCTTATCCTTCAAATAGGCCTTCATTCTGCTCCCTGTAAGGATATCCCTTGAACATTGTCCTCTGAGGTGTTCGTGCCTCTCCTTTAGATCTTTATCCCATTTCCTTTGTCCCATTTGGGAAAAGGGATGTTTAGCTTTTGTAGCTCACTTCTTGAAGAAATAAGCTTGGTTATGTCTAATAGGGTTTTGTTATTGTCCTTTGTTTTGTTTTGTGGGATTTTTTAGGCACCTTTTAAATCAACCTTACTGAGGAATGACATTCATACAATAAAAGGCGTACATTTTTAGTTGTACAGTTCAATGAGTTTTGACAAGTATATACGCCACCACCTTAATCAAGATATAGAATATTACTATTATCTAAAAAGTTCCCTTGTGCCTCTTGCAGTCAAGTCTTCCCCCTCCATCACCACCCCAACCCAAACCCCAAGCATCACTGATAGCTGTCATACACATAATTTTGACTGTTTTAGAATTTTATCAAATATCAGCTTATGTTCAATTTTCCAATTGTCCCATAAATGCCAAAACATTGTTTATGCCATTTGAATAAAGATTCAAAGAAGAACCACATACAAAAAGTGATTGATCTATTTTTAAAGTATCTTCTAAAAATTTCCTTCTCTCTCCCTCTTTCTAATAATTTGTTGTGGAATCTCGGTCATTTTTCTTGTAGATCTTCTGACAGTCTAGATTTTGCTGATTGCACTGAGTTTTAACAGTTTTCTGTCCTCTACTTACAGATGCTATTTCTTTTTAGAGAATTGATCTTATTAAAAAAAATTTTTTTTTTTGCCTCATGCACTTTTAATTGGGTTGGAGGATTACAGAATTCTAGAACAACATTCTTTTGATGCTAAGTAACAGGGAACTGCATAATCCCTTAGACTTGTCCTTCAAATTCCTCTTTACTAGGTCAGCGATCACCTACTGTCTCTGAAAGTTGAGCTCTGTGAAACAGAAATGGTGGAGCTAAGTTTTAATAAGAGAAAAAGTAATAAGCAGAGGTCAGGGACGACGGAGAAGTGGGGATGGGTAAGTGGGAGGCTGATCGATGGCCCATAAAGAAACATGCATTTAAGGGGTGGGAAACAACGTTAGGTTACCGCACGGAAGAGATCAGAAGTGAAACCTGGCTTACTTTACCAGGTTATTTTTAACGCCAACTGCAGAGTATTAGTGGTTTCATAAGACCTTTTTGGGGGGTGACTTTCAGTATTAGGTCAGGGTGGAAGCTTCGTGAGAAAGGTCTGGATATACTGGACAACCTAAGGCAGTCAAACGACCAATACATTCCAATTTCCCCGACCGCGGAGTCCACACAGTGTAACCCAGAAGGGCGGAAGGTAGCGGGGACCCTCCAAAGCCACGCCCCTCCCAGCGTCCGTCTCTGCGCTTGCGTCACTTCCGGCCCTGGGCGATTCGCGTCCGGGTCGGGGTGAGCCTCTTGCACTCCGAGTGTGTTACTGGTGGAGGTGCTACGCTGTCCGCGTTCTCTTCCCAGTGTGATCGAGCCGCAGTGCCTGCCGGCGAGGAGTACCCGCTGCCTCGAGCAGAGAAGGACGAGGAGGGGACCTGGGAGCGGGCAGCGGCCGGGTTGGGCCGCTCTGGGGCGGGCTGGCGACTCTGCTCCTTCGCTTGCTGCTGTCTCTGGGAACCGGGTGCCAGCACTGAGGAGTCTTCAGCTGACAGCAAGCCCCTTCCCCGGCTCCCCTGCCCGCCCTGCCGGGGAGGGCGGAAGATGCCGGTGAAGAAGAAGAGAAAATCTCCTGGGGTGGCAGCGGCAGTAGCGGAAGACGGAGGCCTCAAAAAGTGTAAAATCTCCAGGTACCACCTTCCCCTACCCTTCAGTCTTACCTCCTCTGCTGCAGGGCTAGAGAAGAAGGAGGCGGGCCGGGTCTCCGGGGCTCGGGCTGGGGAGAGGTGAACTCCCTCTGATAAACCTAGGTGGGAGGCGGGGAACCGCGCGAGTCTGCGCTCGGCTCCACCTCATGTTCGGTTTGTGTGCTCTGGCGCCAGCGAAGGGACTCGGAGAGTCGCCTCACGTTGAGCCTACGTGCCAGGGAAGGTGGAGAAACAAGAATGCGTACGCAAATTGCCCTCTTTCCCGTTACCCCCTACTCCCTTAATCCCTTCCCCCTCCTTCCTTCCAGACCTAGAAGTGAGTACAGATCCGTGCAAGGGTCACTTCTAGAATTTCTTTGTAGAGTGTGAAGAAAGGAATAGAGCACGAGGAATTTTGATCTGACAACTGCCATGGGAATGGTAGAAAAAAAGCTCCTTATGCTGTAATTGCCCTCCAGATTTAGTATTTGGAGTGATCTAACCCGGACCATCCCAGTAGGAGCCCCATTTTCTGGAAGTATATAGCGCCTCCACCTGAGCCAAGTCCTTATGTGCGGAGTTGGAAAGGCCCTGCGTGCGTTTTGTTTTTCAGCCATCAGGATGCTGTTAGCTCTCAATATAAATATTAATAATTTGAGAGCTATTGTACTCTGTATCCTCTTGGAGAAAAAGAAAAGGCAGAGCTGTAGTTGTATAGCTCTTTGATCCCCTAGTAGCGTGTCATTAAGGCATTACAGCAACGTTGTATGCTGCAAAAAATCACTGCTATTTAGGTGTGAGAAGTGAGTTTTTAAAATTCCCTTTTCGGGTGTCTTGACTGCATTAGTGGTTGGCACTTAATGTAACAACTTAAGATGCCACCATTTAAAGTAGCCACCAGCATTATAAAGAAGAGATAATGATAGAACTATCCTTAAAGAGAGGTCTGCTTAAAATGTGAGGTAGGTGACTTCTTTAGTCTGCATTATCCTTTTTGTAATTGGTTGAATTTTTTTCCTCATTACTGTGTTTGGCAAAAGAGCCCAAGGGTATTTCTTGGACTATTACTGTGAAAGATACTGCTGTTTTCTTATACCTCTTGATAACTCATACTAGAATTTGACATAGTTACTCCATTAGCTCATATTTTTTTGAAACATGCAAATTAATTTTTTGTCACATTAACTTGTAGTAATCTTAATTGTATAATGTATCAAAATTATTTAAATTAAGCACATTAAAACTGCTGAGCAGTCAGTATTATTACAACTCAGGTGATACTTTGCTCTATCAACTTAAAATTTTAAATATGGCACCCTTATTTTATATTACATTATTCAGTTGCATAAGTTATAGCATTCCTAAGTCATTGTGGTAGTGTGGAACCTTGAGAAAAGGTTCTCTGTTCATTAAATCCTCAAGGCTTTGGCCCAATTATTTGAATTGATATTTTCTGTTAGGTTTTTTTTTTTTTTTTTTCTTTTTAATCTGTGGAATCTAATTATAGCCTTAACTCCTATATTATCTTTTGTCTTTAAAATATTGATTTAAGTTTGGTAGATGATAAATAAACAACTCTTAATATATATTATTCTGAAATATTGATTCACTGAGTATCAAAATATACTTTGTAAGATTTGTTTTCAAATTATACACATATGTAATTTCCATACAAATCAGCAGAAGAATCACTGTAAAGATTTATACCCAACTACCAGTCCTGGATTGAGACCATCAGGTTGAACTTCTTTGTGGTCTTTTGAAATCTGGGGGAAATAATTTTCGTGATATTTTTGGAATTTGATAGTGAGCAAAGTAGCATTTGGGTTTTGTTAGACAGAAATTTTTATATATAGATTACTGTTTCAAATTGCAAGTATTTAACAATTCCAATTTTCCCCTATAACACCAACTGTAAAAAAAAATACTTTGGTTTGAATTGAAGTAGTTCATATTGAACTTAGCTTTTCACTAAAAGTTGAGACTTGTTAAAATTCTTAGGCATTTGTGTGTTTTCTAAGCTATTGCAGATCCCAACCCCCTGCTAGACTAATAAGTGGAGAGGAACATTTTTCAAGCAAGAAGTGCCTGGCTTGGTTTTATGAGTATGCAGGTAATGAAATTAATATAAGAAGATAACAGTCACATGCTTTAAAACGTTCTTTTGGTTTATTCATTTAACAAATTATTTATTGCAGGCCTGCTATGTGTTAGTCCTTTGTGCTGAGATCAGGGTCAAGACAGAGGATTATGGTTAGGCTAAGAATTTGTTGCCCTTTAAGGCTGATATTTCTTTAAATATATAATTCAGTATATGTTTAATGGGAGGAGTGAAACTCATTTACTGTTAGTAAAATTTGTAAACAGATTCACTTATTGGTTTACATCCATTGGCTACAGTAGAGTTGGTATTCTGGAAAACACAAAGTATGTAATAAAACATTTTATATTTGTTTTTCTTTTCAGTTTTCTTTTGAAATTTTTCTGAACCATAAACTGACATTTTCTGAAACTCTTGGGAGACATAGTAAAAGATTTAAAACTCAGGTGTATCATTACATGACAGATTTACCCTTTAATATAATTGCTATTTATTTAGCCATTCATTTCTACTGGAGATGCAATAATAAACAGACTGATATTAGTACAGTGTACTATATGCTATATTAGGAAGATGCACTGTGAGAGTTCATAGGAGAAATGTATAATCCAGCCTTGGAAGTTTCAGGGAAAGCTTCTTCAAGAAGCTAATTTAAACTACAGTAAATCCTGTAAGTGGTGAATGAAAAACTCTAGGACTAGGGTGAAACTGTAGTTCAGAGGTAAAAGTCAAAGCCTGGGATGAGGCCAACGAGTTAAGCAAATATATGAAAAAGAACACTTGTTTTCCATTTATTATTAACTTCTTCATAAGCATATATGAAAAGAAATTTTTTTCCCCTTAGAATGATTTAGTTCTTTTGGAATTATTGATTTTAAAGGTTTTTTTTGTTTTTTTTTTTTCTTCCCTCCTCTTTGTTTCATTTCTTTTACCTGCCTCCCTGGTTGGGTTTTTTGTTTTGTTTTGTTTTTCCCCTTTTATCACTATCATTCTCAGTGTTTGTTTAGAATAAAAGTGTATGTGCAGTCATTGTCTTGTATTTATTGCTAATGAAGTTAAGGTCTCAAGAGTACTTCGAACTTAAGGTTAAGGTTTAGGCTAACTGTATGGAAAATAAGACCATTTTGGAGGACAGTAACTTCGCTGTTGGGATCCACTGAGTGATCCCAAAAGTATAATTTAAAAATTGTTTAGTAACAGAACAGATTCTTTCTAGACCAGAAAAACTGCTATTAACTGGCATCCCAAGACAACCACTAACCCAAATTAAATAGAGGGAATTCATTTTCTTTTGACCTCCATTTAAAATGTTGACCCAGTATTCAAAATGCCAGTTTTACCGGTATGTATGATAATGATACAGAATCAAAAGGTCAGTCATCTTATTTTGCCTATAAAGGGTACTAGATACCATAAAATTAGTCAATTTTTTTTTCTTTCATGCTTGCTTGTTTTACTTCTCGTAGGGACTTTCCTGGGTAGCATAAGATTTGATTTAAACATTTATTTCCTATACAAGCATTTTTTAATGGCCAGCAAAATAATTGCTATCTTTATTACAGAAATTGTGCTAATTATATAATTCTCCTATGACCATTCTGTTAAGTAGGTGGTGTTATCCTTATTTTCTAGACGAGAAAACTGAGGCTTAGATTAAGTGATTTGCCCAAGATCATACAGTGACAAGAACCTGGATTCAAACTCAGGTCATTCTGACCATAGAGCCTATGCTTTAACTACTACTGTCTTATTTTAAAATATGTACATGGCAGCTAGTTTTTCTTTTACAAAGAAAATATTAGTAAGTGTACTTTAGGTTAACTTATCTTCTGTCCTTCACTGAATGATGCATATTTATTGAGCACTTGTAGGTCAGGCACTGTGCTAAGTGCTGGGAATATAGTGGTAAACAAATTAGACAAGATCCCTGCCCTTGGGGGACTTGCCTTCCAGCAGGGAAGACAGACAGTAAATAAGTTAAGTAGGTAAGATAATTACAGATTGTGGGGGATTATAAAAGTAATAAATATGGTATGATTCAGGGATAGGAAGTAGAAAGTTGGGATGGACTTTCAAATAAGGTGAATAGGGAAGGTCTCTCTAGAGATTACTTTGGTCAGAGACCTAATTGATAAGGAGGTGCCACTTGTTTGCCAAATAAACAGTAACTGGGATGTCCCTTTTTAAAATGGAGACAATAATTGTGCCTACTGAGATAATACATGTTAAGAAAGCACTTATCACTGTACCTGGTTAAATATAGTCAGAACCCAATAAGTGTCAGCTATTATTAAAAGAGTAATAGTATTGCAGCATCAAATTTACTGGTTGTATATTTTCACAATACTGTTCCAAAATTAACAGTATAGTTCCTAGGTAGTTTATGTTGAAGGTACTGTGTCATTTCATTGAGCAGATTTTTTTTTTTTTTTTCTCCTGAGCATCTGCTATGGCCGGCATTGTTTTAGACCCTGCAGGTATACCTGGGAACATTTCCTTATGGTTATTAAAACATCAGAAAATTGATTTTTTTTAAGTTTTAAAAATGTTTTACCACAAATCTTAATTATATATTATAGGTCATGTGTGATAAGCCTGATGGTTTTGCCCTTTCATAACACCTCTCATCTTGAGTGCTATTTACATCAGCAAGGATTCAGTAATACATTGGGCCTGTTACTGAACAAAAGCATAGAAGGTGAAAAGGCACTTTTAAGGTCTTATAAAGAATCAGAAAAAAGGTGGGATAGAATGCATAATCCTAATAAGTAACCAGCTGGTAGAGTGAACTAAATCATTTTCATAGATTCTTAAGTTGAGTGGAAGCCTATTTTGTGCCTGAAAAAGTCAGTTAAATTCCACTCCAGAGGTTTTACCCTGGGAGTAGTTTTATTGAAGAGTTTGTTTCAAGAAGTATAATTGATGTTATGCAATCTGGGGAAAAGAACATTAGTATAGACCTTGTTTTAGATTTAGATTGTTGCTATCATTATTTGCATTGCTTTGTGAAAGTCACTTGTCATTTACAGAAGGGTCTTATATCTATCTTATATATCTCCATATAACATAATTTAACTTGATTCTTATCAAATTTTAATCGCTAATCTCCCATTTTCTAGGGAGGCTATATTTTATGACAGTAACTGATATTTCTTGACATGACTTTCTCTTCTAACTACTAATGATGGCAGCTTTGAGGGCAAGTCTGCTTTCTTGTTGCATTAGAAAAGTGTAGAATATATTTCCATCATGCCTTAAGAAAAAAACTTTTCTTCCATTAAATTTTTTATCTGATTTTTACTTTCATCCAAACCACATATAAGGATTCATATTCAGTATTTTTAACACCTTAATTGTATATGTGTGCTTTTAAAATTACATAATTAACACATTCTCATAAAAAACCCCTCCAAATATATATTAGGAAGTGAAAGTTTCCTGCAATTACCACCCCTTCACCTTTTAACACCTCACTGCATAAATAAGTGCAATGCTTATTTAAACCAGAAAATTTTTGAAAAGGTTTTGGTTTCAGACCATGTTGTGAACATCATCTTAGCAGCCTGGACCCTATCTGGGATAGTAAGAGTTTAACTGGTCACATATTGGATGGTCACATTCTTCTATGAAGAAAAACCATAGGACATTGGCTACATGTTGTGCTTGTGAACTAATGGTGGTGATATAAAATGCCACCTGAGCAGCCTTGGTCTAGTCTATGACTTACAAATCTGGAGTATTTTCAGTCCTTAAGAAAGGAAAACAAGTTTCTCTTAGCTACTTTAACAATAATATTTGAAGACTGTATTTTCTTTCAAAAACCAGGTATGGTAAATATTTCTATCATATTTTATATTTTAAAATTTGTTTTACCTTCCTCATTATACTTCAGGTGTACAACATAATGATATATGTATATATCGCAAAATGATCACCACCTGTCACTACACATAGTCACAAATTTTGTTTTCTTGTGATGAGAGTTTTATGATTCACTCTCTTAGCTACTTTCAAATACGCAAAACCGTATTATTAACTATAGTCATTCTGCTCTATGTTACATCCCCAGGACTTACTAAGTTTGGAAGTTTGTACCTTTTGACCACCTTCACCCATTTTGCCCACCCCTGCCTCTGGCAACCACCAGTCTGTTCTCTGTATTTGAGTTTGGGGGAGAGGAAGGGGGTTGGTAGATTGCTTATACAAGTGAGCTCATATGGTGTTTGCCTTTCTCTGTCCGACTTGTTTCACTTAGCAAAATGCCCTCAAGGTCCATTCATGTTGTCACAAATTTGTTTTATCAAGTCAAAAAAGAGACCTAGCAATGATGTAATTACTATATGGGAATCTGATAACGTAAAAAATATGAGAATTGGTGTACTGACATATATTTACTGTTACTAAGGAGAAAAATACAAGAAAAATGTCCTTAATTTTTGGACTAATGATAGACATAGCTAATTGAGGGATTAAGCATTTATTTCTATATTAAGATGACATAATGCTTATGCTTTACTGTTTTAGGACCAAGGAAAATATCTCATTCTGGAATCTGAATGTTGTAATTTCCTTACATCATTATTTTCATAATATATCTTAAAACTAGTAAATTTTATTTGGGTATATTTCAGAAGGTTAATGAATGACCTTCTGTTTTAGTAAGAAACAGATACTCTCCTCTGTTTACTGTCTTGAATTGTGGGTTGGTACTGGCACAGTCTAGTAGAATAAGAAGCTCAAACCTTCTTGTGCTTCTTTGTTAATGCATTGTGAAAAATTTTCTTCAGAGGAGGTTCTCAGTAAACGTATTTTTAATGGATAGGTTCAAGTTATTGTACAAGCTAGCGATTGATATTAACGTTGCTTTGTTTTCTGTTTCCTTAATTATATTTTATAATGTGGTTTTCAAAGAGTATTTCAAAATTAAAAAATTTTTAATCTGGTGACAAGTATTTATACTTTATCAAAGGTATGTCAAAATTCAAATTCAGTTATTCACAAAAAATGTTATGGTGTATTCATAGATGCCTTTAACACAGTGACTTATGTTTTATGTTGATATTAAATTATAACAATAAAATATATAAATTATTTTTGTCTTTGAAGGTCCTGATGAAGTTGTAGGGCCAGAAGGAATGGAAAAATTTTGTGAAGACATTGGTGTTGAACCTGAAAATGTATGTTTTATTTCTAAGTAAAATGGAATACAAGTGGGGTATAGCATATTCATAAATTTCTAAAAATTGGAACACTTTAATCTTATCAGAAGATTTTGTTTCTTCATGAATATTGTAGATTTTCATTTAGGTTTTTTTAAATGTATTTAAATTGGGCACGTGTTCTCTTTCTTGATACAAATGTCATTTGTAATAGAGTAAGAGAGATTCTACCTTCAGAAATTGTTAGAACTTTTTGCTTTTAAGAAATTGGCCCATCTAAATTTCTTTACAGTTAATAATTCCAGAGATTGTACTCTTTAATAGTTAAAGGATGGAAATAGTTGTATAAAAATGCTCTCCGTGATAAATATAGACATGATTATCTCTATGCTGACTTTTCCCCTATCCTTTATGTTCTGTTCTTTCCAGATTATTATGTTAGTTTTAGCGTGGAAATTGGAGGCTGAAAGCATGGGATTTTTTACCAAGGAAGAATGGTTAAAGGGGATGACTTCATTACAGTAAGAAATTTTTTTAAAAAACAAATTTGATGGCCTATTTGAAGATCTTAATTGATATTTTGTGCTTCGTAGTTTTTTGGGAGTAAGGTTTCACCTTAAATTAATCAAATTGGTTTGATCTAGAACAATCAGTTTAGGATTGACAAATTTATATTATGGTCTTTGGCAAAATGAACTGTTACTCCAGTTTTCATATTCCCTAAGAAAGAACCTAAGAACAGTTCTATTAAAACTCATTGACTCTCTTGATGGGTGAATTAGAGATTCATGATCAAAGTTATTTACTCACGGGATGTTTGAGTGATAAGGGATTTCCTTCTCAGAATGTAGAATTCTACTACATGAGGAGTTTGTTCTTGGGCAGTCCTAAGCTCTGGGGCCTCCTCTCTCTTCGGTTTTATACTTGACTTAAAAAAGAAATTTGATATATAAAAAAAAGAATGTCTGTATGTGTATAACTGAGTCACTTTGCTGTACAGCAGAGATTGGCACAACATTGTAAATCAACTCTACTTCAATGCAAAAAAATTTAAAAAAAAAGAAATTTGAAGAGAGTTACATGATACTTTTATTATTTCTTTTTTGCCAAATGAATCTCATGAATACAAAAGTAGAAATATTGTTTGGCTCCTGTGCAACCGTTAGCCATTTTATAGTTGTATACTTTCAGTTTAGGATGCTGCCTTGGGACACTTTTATAAGTTATAAAATTGCTTCTTTATAAAAATAATTTGATTTTGGCTTTTCAGAGTAAAGTGTGCTTAGTTTCAGAGTCAGTTAGTAATTGTGTATTAATTTTATATTATGTCATGTTCCTTATGTTCATGCAGGAAGTTATTAATAGTCAACATTCTAAAATAGTTAGAGCAAGCATAAATTTATAATATTTTTGAGCCCCAAACTGGAGGTTAATTAGCCATGTGATTTCCTGTTGTGATTATGCTTTTATTAACACACTTAACTGTTCTTTACTCCTTGTTTGCCTATCCTTAAATTTCAAAATACTTGGTTATTTTTTTTAAGTGTATTTGTTCATATGAAACTTAAATATTTATATTTGGATTTTCAGTGTCTAATGTTTTGTAATTCTCCTTTTTAACCAGCATTAACATTTAGATATTTTGTGTGTGTGGGTATGTGTGTGTCTGTGTATATATATAAATATATATGTGTGTGTATGTATACACATACACATATGTATATGTATATATATTTGTTTAATGTAAAAATCTTTGCTCATATGAACCAAATCATAGTTCCTAGAATAGAATATAAAATCAACCCTCTCACTTTTATTACTTATAAGTGAGATGAGGAGTCTGAGACTCAGAGAGGTGAAGAAAACTTTTGCCAGAGTTTACATAGTTCTTAGTGGCAGAGCTAGGACGTAGAATTTAAATTTCCTGAATACCAGTCTACCATACTGTACTTCCTATTGCATCATCCCTTTATGTATATTCCTTTGTTACATTCTTTATAAAATAGATGGCCATTATTAACTTTTAAAATCATAGTATTTATAACCAAGACTGCCATTCATCTAGGTGTCATAACGTGCCAAATTAAAATGTTGATTCTGAAATTCTTTGGGCTGTTTCTCACCATTTAATTAGCTTTATAGAGAAAGACAAAATATATAAGATTATGCAAAGAATATAAACTAATTTCATGTAGCTCAGTCTGTTTTATTAAAATTTATATCAGTTGTTGCATGGCTTGTCAATTGTAAGACATTTTATTTGGCATTACAACTGCTTTATGTACTATTCCTACTGCTTTTTTTGTCTGTTGCTTTTTAAAATATATCAGCTAACAATTGTTTGTGTATTTTTAAACCAAAAGTTTCTAATTATTTATGTTTTTGAATTACTTGATATAATATAAAGAGCCTCTGTATAACAGAAATATGTAAACACAAAGTGTTTCTAGTATTTACTTGTGAATAATTAGCATATAGCCTTGGGTATATGCTAGGGAAATTGATGAACCCATGAACATGTTGTTTATTAGCGTATCTTTCCAATAGGAAGTTCACAGGCTTTACAAAATAAAAGCAATATTTAGAACTTAAAATTGACCCAGCGGTTTCTGTTTCATTCATTTATTATCCCCTGCCCATCTGCTTAGAACTCTATAGTGTAGATCTTTAAAGCTACTAAAATTAGGCAAGCACTCTTGACTGGGAAAATGTTATTTTTTTTTTACCCCCAATGATCTAGATTGCTTTGTTGAAGTACAGAGTATCTTCTCTTAATTGGCTTAATCTTATTACTCCCTGAATCTTCTTGTAAAGAACTTGCTAGGAATAAAATAGTTTAAAATGTAAACCAATAGAGACAAAAGAATCTATAAAACTTGTTTTTTTAAAAATGTATAGTTGTTTAGTATACTTGGTTTTATATAATCATTATAAAATGTAAAATTTCACAGACTTGATTCCTTTTATAGATTTTTCATATTTTTAGGATTTAATTTAATCTGGACATAGTTATTTGATGGTTCCTAAATCATCTTAATGTAGTTATCAATTATTTCAAATTAATGAATTTTAACACGTAGAAAACTTTAAGTAGAGCTCTGCTAAAGAATAGAAACAGTCTGGTAGTTAAAATGTATATTATGGTCAAGAATAGGGGACTGTCGTAATCATGGTTAATTATAATCTGTAACTGTATAATGCTTAACAGTTTTCAGAATACTTTTTTTTTTTACATTTATTTATTTTAAAGCTGTTACTCATACAGACTTTCCACAACTGAATTGTCCTTCTCTTTTGTGTGAAAGAATTTATGGGTATGAATTTGTATATAATTGGACTAGAATGGCCATTTTTTTAAGTTTCGGGGATGTAATTGCCGTATCCTTTCCAGATACTTTGCTCTATTTCGTTTTCATCATTGTTTAATAATAGTCAAATTTCCCTTCAAGTCAGATTTAATTTAGGAGATATTTAAACACCTATTTTATCTAAAGTACTGTGCCGCTTACTGATGACCACAGTGAGGCATGGGACACAGCTCTGTCCCTTAGTTACATTTCATTAGGGCGGGAAAGGCATTACTGCAGCCATACTGTAACCATAGGCATACTGTAACCATAAATCCAGGTGGGATGGGACAAGTACTAGAGTAAAACTACCAAATACTATGAAAGCACAGCTGCTAAAGAGGTTAATTCCAGCTGAGTAGACGGGAAAGTCTTTACTGTAGGTGTGGCATTTGAACTGGACCTTGAAGAGTGATTAGGATTTTGATGGTTGAGGGTATAGGAAAATGTTGTTTCAAGAAGAAATTGTGAGCAGAACCTTGAGAAAAGAAAACATATGTCTAGTTTGCTAGAATCAAAAGGTACATAAAGAAAACTGACAGAGTAGTTTTAAACTCCAGATAGTTGGGATAATGGCTACATTATGCAGGGCTTTGACTAATAGTTGAGAGAGTTCAAACCATATGTTTTAGCTTGGGAAGCCATCAGAGATTTTTGAGCATAGGAATCATCAAAGATTTGGGGGATAGTTTTCAATAGAGGAGGTTTTTTTTTTTTTTTAGGTCATAGACTCTTTTGAGAACCTTAGGAAAACTGTGGACCTTATCCCCATTAAGATGCACATCTGTAGAGGCAAGATTCCAAGGATACTTGAAAATTTTATTCTGGCATACCTTACTGGAGCGGATAACTTTTCTCATATCTACTAGCTGAAAGTTTGTTGTTGGAGCATCTACCATGCTGTTAGAGAAAATTGTGGGCATATATCTTTGACAAGAGTATACTTGATTATGATAATGAAAAAAAGAGCCAAAAGGATAGCATCTGACAAGAATGGTAGTAACTAAGCTGTCTGCCAGTAGACTACAAGTTGTACACCTTCTGGTCTCCATATTGAGCGTTGTACTTTGAAGATTATAGGCTTAACTGGCTTCACTTTCTTTAGGAGAGAGGAATGGGGAACATTTATACAATTTTTTTGGTGGGAGTGGAAGAGTTGAATAGATTGGATGCTGTGGTGTCTGTGGTGTATGACTATCAGTCACTTAGCATTTTGGGCCCAAGTACTAATTGCCATTGGCATTCTTCCTCTTTGCTCTCCCCCAGAGTCATCAAAACAATTTCAAAATGCCCCCGCTCCACATTTCCAAATACCCTCCAGTGATGGATTAATTGTATTGTTCGGATTGATACACCTGATTCAGAGAAAGTTCTAGTCTATGGCCATACCACTCTCAATGCGCCCAATCTCGTCAGAGAAAGTTCTAAATCCATAACTTGGTGAATAAAATTCTTCCTGTTATACATCAGTGTGTCATGGCATTCTTATTGACTTAATGATTAAGGAAGATAACCTCACTTAGATCTAATATATAAATGAAAATTTTTTCTCATTTTAAAGGTCTTAAGTGAAGCAGAAATTCAGAAGCCTCTCTTGTTAATCAGATGTTTAACAATACTCAAGAAATTAATTCCTAAGCCTTTATGTTGAAATTTAAACCCATTTCACTGATTCTAACAGCAGTGACCTTGGAGATTGCTGTCATATTGTGCCAGTGTTCCCTAAAATCTGTGTGGTTTTATTTGATTGTTATTTTAAAAAGTGCTATTCTTACTTTCCATGCTACACTAGTTAAGTATGCATTTCTTTTTAGTTCAGGGGAAATAGTCTTTCTAAACTTGCCAAGTTAGGAGGTGTCAACATTATTAACTCTTGTGAGTCTATTTTGGGGCTAGATTAACTATAAGAATCGTGTTTAACTACTTGGGCATGATTACTGGTTTTGCTGGGTCTGGTCACGTTCTTTATGATGTTGGTAATAGATACGGAAGTTCGTGCTCTTATTTTTTTCACTCTTCTCCAAGAAGAAAACATTAATTGTCAGTTCTATTAAATTATTTCTCAACTGAAGAATTAGATAAGCGATTATAATGATAAGAAATAGTTTGGAGAGAGCCACCAATGTGAAGATGATTTTTCAGCCATTTGCCTCAGAAGGAGTCTATCAAGCTAA